TAGATAAGTAATTTGTTCAGGTTATGAATCTTCGTGCACCCACAGACGCCAGCTGCCAAACCGTCCTGGACATTTCTTGGTGTTGTGGTGCTGGGCAAGATCAAGTTAGGTTTATATCTTAATATCCTGAAAAACCGCAACGAGAGCCAACGAGTTAGGCAGAGAGCCATCCACACAATGCCCCTGAAAGCCTTCAGAAGGGTGCTCTCCATGAAGTAGGACCTCAAGACGTTGCAGACATGCATGCTCAACAGATCCAAGTCCCCCTTCACGCCAAACCATGCACGCTTTAGGGTCAGCTGTACAGGGTCTTACAGTCTCTTGTTTGATCTTTTTTTTTTGGCGGGGGGGGGGGGGGGAAATTGATGTTGCTTTCAGTTTCCTCAGGTGACCATGGCCGGGATCCAACCTGTCCGTGCTTCGATGAAGAGTACCTTCTGTCGTGGCTCTATGAGCAGCGGCCCGAACTTTTCCAGCTCCAGGGAGCGCCTTTCCGCTGAACTGAGCATTTGCAGCGGGTCTTCTCTTAACACCCGGCGAGGGACACCAGCGCAGATGCACATGCTTCATCTCAGGCTCTTGCTCGGCGCTCAGCGAGACAGGCGAGGGACCATGCGGAAAACCCAGATTGTGCTAACGTACTTCTAAGCACAGACCACAAATCAGGAAGCCTTTGGCCCTTCCGCAGGCAAACCCTCAACTATCGATGCATGCAAATCGACGAGTACAGAGCACGAATGCCCAGAGCGAATCACCAACTTGAACGCCGAGTGCCCCACAACGCTTGTCTCCAAAAAAACCTACTGCGGGTATTGGGACGCAGAGCACGAACATCCCAAACCGAGCTCGACAACCATCCTCGGCCGTTAAAACCGTGTACGGAATAAAGATCCGCCAGCAAACAGTAGATTTTTGCGAAGACTGTTTGCGAGTGCTCATGGTGTCTAAGCAGAATTCGCGAGGTGCCGTCTCAACAGTATAAGAAAAGCGAATCAAGTTCGAGATCCGGAATGTACTGCTGTTTGGGTTGACCCCAAACCGTATCACCTGACAAGTGCGAAGCGACACCTTGAAGCTTAATCCCTCAAAGGGATCGTGCTGACCTCTGAGTCGCTGCTTCAGCCCGGGCAATCTCCGTCGACGCTGGCGACAAAAGCATACCCCACCTGTGGCCGAACCTGCGCATGCGTCCCATAAACTCTTCAACCCTTCACATCCCTCAGCCACAAGTCCGAGACCTAGTTCACAGAAACCCCTTTCCAACAATTTTACAGTGCTGAATTCTTCACCCGCGTTTCGGACATCTAACCCTAAAGTATCCTCCGCCCCCCCAAAACATGAGAAGACGCATGAAAGCCTTAACATCTAGCAGTTTTGACAGCTCTCTTTTTGTTCGCCCTGCACGTCGCAGTGCAACCCGAAGCTGATAATGGTAGTTTGGCTTTGGTGGGCCAGGGTTGCAGCGAGCTTCGCCTCCTTGAACGTGGAATCAAAGCGCACGCAAAGAAGGGAAGTCGGGTACAGGGTTTACTTTGCAGAGCTCGGGTTGAGCTTGTCGGGTTCAGATCAGGGTGTCGAGTTTTGTGACGTACTGGGCTTGAGCCCAAAACCCGGAAGACTAAGCGGAGCTTGTGTGCACCATCGTGGCATCTGCCGCTTGCTACCTGCTCAAAGAGTCACTGCAAGAACCAAACGAGTTCTTGCTTGAGACCTGGGCTGTGGGGCTCCAGTGTCCGGAGCCATGTCCCCAATTGTTCCTCTGTTGCTGCTGCTTGGCCTCCCTTCATCTGACTCCGAGCTCTGCACGCCTGGAGCCGGCGACGATGCTTCGCTACTGCAATTTGAAGGCTCGACGAGCGACTCGGTGCTGCCCTATTCAGCTAAGGGGACATGTACACAACTCGAACAGTTGCACTTTTGAGTCTGCGTCTTGAAGGATGGAGTGGATTCAGGATCCGTCTCAGAGGAAGCCCAGCAAGGTTCGGGGGTAGGGGAGGCCGTTCCAAGACTTCTAGTCTGCCTTTCCTTGCAGGCTTGGCATCTGTGTTTGTTTGGTTCATGTACCCTTAGTGTCGAACTCGAAGTCGAAAGGCTGAGCTTGTTCGGCGAATGAACCGGGCCGGTAAGGGCTGCTAAAGGCGAATTACAGTACGCGGTAGCTGGTTTCCCAGATGGAAAATCCCATTTCTTACGAAGTTGTAGGATTTAGGGATTCGGTGTCTGGGGTATTGAGTATTGGTTTCTGGTTTGATGAATGTTTCTGAGAGCATCTGGACAGCCGGAAGTTCGAAACTCTGTAGATTGGCCGTCTTTGGTTTCACGACTTATGACCCACTGGTGAAGACCCGCACCCCTAAGCCGACAATCCGAAACCCGAAGACCCGCACAGCTGCAACGGCATACTGTCCAGAGTCTACTGTAGCCGAACCACTAAACCTCATTTCCGATCCCTGAACCCGGCAGCAGGGCAAGCCATCCTGAAGACAAAACGCTGATTTTGTTGTCTGATGAACTGGATGAATGAACTCAAAAAACATCAACTCAACTCCCAAACCCTGGGACAGATTCCAGCCGAATCTGCGAAGAAAACTAACAACCAAAATCTCTAGAGGGTCAAGGCTATGCACGCCTTCCCAGGGTTCGCGAGCACTGGCCAGCTGGAGACGCTCAGACTCAGAGCCGATCAGATGGCCGGCCTGACCATGGGGACCCTGCACCTAGGTCAAAGATTTGGAGTTTCAGATGAAAGAGTTGCGAAATGCAGAGTTCGCGGACGTGGGATGAGTTTCGGGATGTTTGATGACGGATCTAGACTGCAGGCTTTACTGTAGAGGGCATGGGCACGACTTAAATTGCCATTGAAAGTGTGATTACAGTCACCGGATTCTGATTGATGTTGGATACTTTTGTTGTTATTCTTATTGTTATTGCCATTGTGGTTATTGTTCTTCTTGTTATGTTGAACGTTTTGCTTCGTCCGCCTCGGCCCGGCTGTACTTGATTGAAAGCAGGTGCATTGTTTTGGAAAGCAACGGGTAGGTCACACGGGTGAGGTCTTGAGTGAATGAGCGCATCTGCTTCAGAATGTTTTTCTAACGTCAGTATTTGTTTGTTTTCATGCGGATGCTCTGAGCAATAATCCCACTCGAAAGGTGGCACATTCTCTTCATGATCCCATAGACCTTACTATAAGAATCGTCGTCTCGTATACAACCTCCCATATGTTGGAAGAGGCATCAAGCTTTGCAACGAAGCACAAGACAAGTACAAGACACAGCCCCAGAATCTTCAGGCTTTGGCATCAGCTTCGCGAATGATGTAAGCCAGCCCGTTATGCCTCGCCGCAAGGAAGAGACGAGGGAAGCGGGGGGAGGCGGGGCAGGTAAGCGGGTAAGGAAGGCTGTTCGCACAGGAAAACACCCATTGGTTTTTGTTTTGGAGGGGGGTGAAACACTGAATGTCTCACATGCAGGTGCCTGTCTGTTTCAC